GGTTGATGTGGTTAAAGCATCCTTCTGTGATGGCTTAGGTTAGCAGCCCATTCCACCAGGCAGGATTGCATGAACATTGGTGCAGGGCCCAGGCTTGTGCTGATGCGGTCAGGCAGCATATATTTAACTTTGCAGTCAGGAGCATGTGGGTCGAATTCTTCCTGGCCTCACTGGGTGTACACGGATGAAGCAAGGTAGTATAGGGGTTGAGTGAAAAAGAAACCCAACCTTTTTGGTGCAAGTTGAACATAACCCCCAGGCGTTATCTTTGAACGTAACCCCCAGGCATTATCTTCAGGTGAGGACTGTAGGTCTCCAGACAGACTCAGAGGGCCTCGCCACACTTCTCACCGAATGAAGAAATTGTAAGTGCATCCTCCTCCAGAAGGTGTCCACATACATCTCTTACTATTTATAATACCACATGTATCTTGCCAGCTTCTGTGGAAAGATGCACTTCCATTTTCTTCGTTTGGTTTCCTGAGTAGACCCAAAGAAGCCAAGTGTGACAAACCTCCAAACAGCTGGAACCTGACCAAGTAAAAGACAAAAGGAGGGCAGAAAAAGAAAGGGGAAAAGGACAGAACGAAAAGAGGGGGACACGTTGTGGGCTTGCATTGCCAACAAAGTTCGTGAGATCCGCGGTAGAGGCCCCCCCCCCCCCCCCCCCCCCCCCCCCCTCCCCCCACCGCCATCACCACAGTACTAAAGGAAAACAAATGACAGCCCACTAACGAAATTCAAACGAGAGCTCTACAGGAAGGCAGGCAACAGTTGTTGAAGGTGTGGGCTCCGAAAGATGCAACCTTTTCTCATAGGAGGTGTCGAAAGACTCGAAACCCTTCTTTTCTGACCGACGACTATCATTTTTTTTTCCCCGTCATATGTTCCAAAAGGCCACGTGGCGAGGAGAGACTGTTGAAAAAAAAAATCTATGTTTTGACTGTGGTGTGCCGAGCTCCTTATAGCTCTTGTCCTCTCCATTGAGATTTCTGAGGGTTGCCCTCCACTGTGTTCATTAGGGACTTCCTCCAAGAAGTAGTAGGGGCTCAACTGCGCAATGCCTTCTTTGCGTGGCCCCCCTTTTTTTTTCCAGTGATTCCGCTTTTGTGGCATGGCCAGTTTGTAGTGGCTGAGCACGTCCCATGCACCAACCTCTTGCATTACTTTGAG